CATTTTGCTTACAGAATAACATAGCAGAAAATATAGGGTTTTCTGGGAAAAACATGTTTACATTATCAATGGACAAGAAAATAGATTTCAGTTGCAAACCTATTTATGAACTCACCAACTTAATTGTTGACACCTTTTTAAAAACTACTTGTATTCTCAGGGAAACAGTAATACATGTATAGCACAAATTTTGAGAAGACGGAGATCTATAAGCTCATGTCTTTGAAACTTGTACTTTTGGGTTCATAAACATTATGTTTTGATCACAGATGTAAAACTTATAACTTTGTAAATATAATGGTTGTTGTTGTACTTTGATTACTATTATGCATTGTTGTGATACTATACATGATGTCCTCCGCCCCCGAATGTTTCCGCCGTTCTGGTTTAGGGGTGTGACAGATTGGTATCAGAGCATTGTTTATAGTGAACTCAGTATATCAAACCATAAAAGATATACAAACTATAAATGTTATAGAGCTGAAGTGCTCTGACTAACAGTATACTTTTAAAATCTAAATATTTTTTTAAGAAGTATACTAACATGCATATATACAAGAAACAACGTAACAGTAAAAACGATACAAAAGTATTTGGATGTTGGACACTACAGTTAAACCTGGACAGTTATGTAATCATATCTGGGATCAATACAACATGATCAATTATACTTATTTGAGATATGACCAACATGTGTTTGGGAGTGATAGTGGTGTTGCAACAAGTCTAAAACTTGCATAAGTACCAGAAGAACTCTAGATTAAACATAAAAGATAAAATACTATAGGAGTATTTTATGACACAAAACAACAAAATACAAGAGAGTTATCCTTACTAGAAACAAACATGTGAAAAAAAAAAGAATCATTTTAGTAGAGCTATAAATATTAACTATATATTATAATTATATATAATTAAGGTTTTATATACTTAAAATCTGTGATCTAGCTTTATTTCCCATTCATTGTTTGGTTGTGGACTTAGAGTAGGATCACTTATTCAAAGGTTTATTCTACCCAAGTTATATATAATTAATATACACTTTGTAGTTATAGAAGTACCTAGTACGAGTCATGCCATATAGAATACATTAACTGTTAACTATAAGTTTCTTATAAGTAAAGTTGAAATTGTTTATTTGGACTTATCAAATCTATTAGATGTCTCTTATCTCCATATTCTCACATAGATAACATGGCTGGATTTAATCTACCGATAACATGGCTGGATTTAATCTACCAATCAAGAGAATGGGGGATGCCACAATGCTGAACCAGAGGATGATCCTGCAGATCCAATAGAAGAGGATTTTCTTGAAGATTCTGACTCAAAATCAGGAACCTATAACCCACCTCAAGTTGCCTAAAATCCCAATCCTCGACAAAATTTTTATGGTCCGACACCTCTGTGGGCAATGAAATTAGATAGGTGGAGTCATGAGCAGGGCCAGGAGCGTCCTTATAATGGAGACCGAAGCTTTTACAATCTTGACGAAGGAGGATCATCAAACAGAGCCCTTTATGTGTTAGTTCGTCGGATTGCACGTAATGATGAACAAGGGAGATCTTCTATCGACGGAGTCATGCAAGTTAGTGCTACCACTAGAGTTAACACAATTCGTCTTCACCACCTGATTGGAAACCATGAGACAACCAGGAATATTACCAAAACCTTATGAAGGGAACTAGCTGCAAGCCGAATTGAAGTTAGAGAACTTCGAGAACATCAAGCGACACTTGAAAGGCGTATGTATGCCACAGAATGCCAGTTGGCTAGATTCTGGGCTGAATCTACTAGTAATCTGAACCATACTCCTAACGAGTAGAGCATACTGTATTCACTCTTTTGGGATGTAGTCTAAATCCATGTATATACACTAGTGATGTTTTCATGTACATAGTACGACCTTGAAATTTCATTTTCGATAGGTCAGTATGCTATCAAGTTTTCAGTTAAGTTTGTATATTGTAGACCTACTAGAAGGTTAAATTTTCCGAATTCTATGTATCTAATATACCAATATATGACAGGCATCTTATTTCCTTTGAAAAATAACTATCCAATTTCACATTATCATTTTACAAGTTATTCCTTGTAATGGACTACTATGTAAACTTTTTCTGAATACATGTAGAACTAATGTAATTAGTTCAAAGACATTTGATTTTATTATCACCATTGATGTCTTACTACCTTTCCATTTTTATATCTTGAAGCTAAAGATACCTCCTAAAAAGAATCCGAGACATATCAATGTCAATGAAGCACCGACACCGCCTCCACCATCACCCTCACAATATGATGTTGCTGTCTTCCAAGCAACATTAACTGCCGTCGTGGCTGCTGCCATGATACAAATAAATGCCCGTGGTACTAATGGAGCTGGCAGTGGTGCTCAAAATTTTAATCATAGTGAAAGTCTTGGACACCCTCGCGAGTGTTCATATCAAGATTTTACTAATGCAAATCCTATAACTTTTGATGGCACCAGAGGTATCATTACTTTGATATGCTGGTTTGAGAAAACAGAATCAATGTTTGAAATCTGTGCTTGTCCTGAAGCAAGCAAAGTTAAGTTTACAGCTTGTACCTTCCTAGACAGGGCCCTTTCCTTATGGAATGGCTATGTTAAATCCTTATCCTTTCCAGTCGCCAATGGTATGGGTTGGGATGATTTAAAAACCCTGATGCTAGCAGAAGATTGTCCCCAAGGCGAAATTCAAAAGCTAGAGGAAGAGCTCTGGAGTCTGACGATGAAAGACTTCGATATTGTTGCATATACTGCCAGGTTCAATGATCCGGCTATTCTGTGTCCAGGGATGGTTCCCACTGAGAACAAGAAAGTTGAGAGATATATCTAGGGACTTTCTCCTCAAATACAAGAAAATGTAATAGCTGCTAACCCTCTCACTTTTGACAGTGCCAAGCGTTTGGCATAGACACTAGTAGACCACAGAGTTCATCAGGGCTTTATGGTACCTATCTTGGAGAAACCCAAGGAAGGGAGCAATAAGAAGAAAAATCTGCCAAAAAAATGTCATACCAACACGCTTTTCAGATAAGAGAGCATATCTCGGTTTCCCTTTGTTATCAACTTATCACATGTCCAAGAGGTTCGCACATTTTAGCTCGGACACTCATATTCTCAAGCCGACAACCACACACCTTAACCCATTCTCCGGACTTGGTTGCATCAATCTCTAATAATGACGATTCTAACTTAATTCCATGTGGCGATTGATTTTGATCTAGATTTAATCTATTGAAAATCAAATAATATATAAAAATGTAAACTTTCATTATATACATATACATATATAATAATACCATAACATTTCTTGTAAATTATGTCTCGGTGGACAACTTTACCCATTAAAATACAATTTCTTGTAAAGTAAAAACATATTTTATGGAGAGACATTTTAGATTCTAAAGAAGTTGGCAAGTTCTTTTTGTTGCCATTTCCCCCACCATTTGGCAAGAATTTAGGAATTAGGATAGGAACAACCGAACAAGTAGGGCAAAGCTCATAAATAGTGACAGCCACGCTCGCCATTGTGAGACTTGGCCCTTTCCATCGTCCTCATCATCACCATCAAGAACTTACAAGACAAATTTAGAAAAAGAAAAGGGGGAAAGAGAAGACAAAAGGTTTTGGGCCCCTTCCCACCTCACAAGGAAGAAACCGAGAAAAAAAAAAAAAAAAAAAAACCCAGAAAAACCTCTTTCCTTTTGCTTGCACAAATTGTGCTTTTTCTTTCATTGATTCCTATCGGAATTCAGCACCTCAAAAGCCAAAACCCACATAAAGGTGTCCTTTCTCCCGATTCTTTTGCAGAAGATATGAGATAAAATTCTCGAGAGTTAATTGTGCTGTCATGAGTACGGAGTTTTACCCATTTGTGATTCTTTAGGGTTTTCGACTTGGTGTGTATCGGTGATTGATTGATTGTGTTTGCGCAAAATAAGAGAGATGCAAACAGATAAATCAGAGCAGATGAGATCGGTGGCAGCAGATACTCGAGGGAAACACAGAATTTCGGCTGAATTGAAGAGACTTGAACAAGAAACTCGCTTCTTGGAGGTTTGATTTCTTCCGTTTTTAAGTTTTTACTAGTATTTACTCGTTTCATCGCTGCTTTCATAGTGGGATTACTTCAAAATTCATTTTTTTTTTTTGTTTTATATGTCGTTTCCTCGAATTCAGGATTATTATCCAATGATTGTTTGAAGCTAATTATACATGGAAGTTCGCTTATTTCATCTGTTTTTTGTAGTTTATGGTGCTTCATTTTGTCTATTTGTTCAGATACGTCGAGAAATTGTCTCAATTCAATGCAACCTTTTGTTATTCTTCGCAGAAAGTTTCTATTTTTTTCCATCTTAGAGTACTCCGATTTCGATTTTGCTTTTTGCCACTAAGCTTCTTTTGAACTAAAATCACTATCAAATGATATTGCTGTTAGCAATTTATCATTTTTACAATAAAGCTTCATCTTCATCTGGATTCAATCATCAAAAACTTCAAATTTGATCTGCTAAGTTTTATATGGTTTAATTATCTTTATACGTGGTTTAGAATATGATGTGATCCAATTCATTGATTTCATCAATTGGTTCATGTTATCCGATTGTAGTTTCTGTTACTTTTGGATATTAGGTTTCAAATGTTTCAACATTTTAGGAGAATGGATGACTGTTTTTGGAAATAATAGCCTCATGATTTGCTCTTTGTCACATGTTTGTGTAAATGACATAAATGCCCACCTACTTTGTGTATGTTTATCTTCTATGTATTTGTTTTGTATGCATGTTTTATATCTTCACAATATATGTAGATTGTTGTTTATGTGTTTGTGTGAAAGACATAAATGCCCTTTACCCTATGAGATATGTTGATCACGAGACTTTTTCATAGATGCATAATGCATATACGAGACACTTTGCTTACAAATTCACTAATCAAACTACGTAGTTTTGATCATGAGACCTTGAACTACACACTTTTGCTTGAAAGTCGAAACACTTACATACAAATGTGTTTTTGTTACATATAAATAATATGTATCAAAAGCTTATTATTGTTATATTATTTTTAGGAGGAATTGGATCAGCTTGAAAAAATAGAAGCAGCATCTGCTGCATGCAAGGAGTAAGTATGAAGTGACAAATTATTTATTTGTTTTTTTTTTTGGTAATTGTGAGGATTTGTGTGTGATTTTCGGTTTAATAACAAACTTTTTCTTTGTTTTTTTTTTTTTTTTATTTTTGTAGAATCCTAAGTAATGTGGAAACAAGGCCAGATCCACTACTTCCAATGTAAGACATCTTGCTTTTTGTTTAATAAAGTTAAAGGGTTAATTGCTTCTTAATGCAATCTTTTTTTTTTTTTATTTTTTTTATTTTTATTTTTAATTTATGCTACAAAAAGGGCCTAAAATATAGTGGATAAACTTGAAAGGTGCTCAAAATATAGTGGCTTTTATGTAGTTTGCAATATTTATGCAACAATATTTCACCTTTTTTTTACCAATTTATGCAATTGACATGGATTATGCACTATGCATCCATGTTATTTCACATGTTATTCATGTTAAGTGTAAAATGCTACATGTTTGTTACATAAATTAGGAAAAGGTAAAATGTTATTGCATAAACAAGCAGTTAACCTAAAGTTGAATGTTCTAAAATACCCTTGAGTATGACAACTTAATATGCAACAATGCTTCAATTTTTTTTTTTTTTTTTTTTACCAAATAATGGAATAATTCCAATATGTGCTTTCATGTTTCACTTTTTTTTTTACCAGTTTTCTACAACTGAGATTAATTATGCAACAATGTTTTAACCAGTTAAAATGTTGCCTATTTGCATATATTTCATTTAAAAAACTATTTTGTTGCATAAGTTTGGGAAAAGCTCAAGCATTGTTGCATATGCAAGCATTTCATCGTAAGTTAAATTTCCAAAATGCCCTCACGTATATGACACCTTTTTGACCAAAACCGTTCTCATGACCAAGGACAATTAGGTCATTTTAGCTTTGTACATGAATTATATAATCCTTTCAACTTTCATTATGGAGGGCAATTTTTGCAACCGTTTCATCCAAAGTTAAATGTCTAAAATGCCCTCAAATATGACACCTTTTTTGACCAAGACCGTTTTCATGACTACGGACAATTAGGTCATTTTAGCTTTGAACATGAATTATATAATCCTTTCAACTTTCGTTATGGAGGGCATTTTTGCAACCGTTTAATCCTAAGTAAAATGTCTAAAATACCCTCAAGTATATGACACCCTTTTGACCAAAACCGTTCTCATGACCAAGGACAATTAGGTCATTTTAGCTTTGAAAATGAATCATATAATAAAAAAAAGGTCAATGCCAAAAGAATCATGTGTAAATAAGGAGTCCAATTAACATTAAAATACAAACTCCCATAATGTAAAATTTGATACTCGAACCCTTGACCATTGACCATTTTTTGTTTTCTAATTCTACTATTTTTTTCTTCTTGATGACAGCACAAATGGGCCCACAAATCCATCATGGGATCGATGGTTTGAGGGACCTCAAGATAAATCGGGATGCAGATGTTGGATACTTTAACAAATATTCTTCGTAAATTCATTGGATTTCATTTGGGATTCGTGCAAATGAGTGAAATTGTACAAATCTCATTACAGATAAACAGAAAACAGGCGTCTTTCCCAAATGGGTCATTGTGCAGAAACGTCAAATTCTTTTTTCGAATGTAGAGGAAACTAAAGGGTTTTAGGGTTTTTTATTGTGGGTTTATTTTGTTATCGAAGTATTGTCGATTAATTTTTTCAGATAATTATGGTTTTTGTGATTAAAAGTTTGAATCTTTATGTTACATTGTTTAATTAAAGATCATGCGAATCATTATGTTACATTGATTAATTAAAGATTTGAAGAAAAGGATGCTTTTGGGAAGTGGGTTTTCTTTTTGTTTTTAAAGCGATTATTGTGATTTTGGTAATCAAGTTAAAATCTGATAATTAAACATTAACATTAGGTAATCTTGTAATTAGTCTTCAAAACTAAATTTATTTTCTTTAGTTGTGACTTGTGACTACAATTGAAGTATGCATAGAAGAGAAAGGATGGCGTGTAATTATTTATTATTTTAGTAGTAGAATATTGGGAATACTGTGGGCCTTGTATAAAATTATTAATTGAATTGTATTGTATATGATTCAAATGCAATAAAATAGGTTATAGTGCAAAGTATTAGAGTGTACATACACTGAAAGACATACATATTATAGAGTTTGCATAAAAGTTAAAATACAAAAGCTCATTATCTGATCTTGCCCTCATTAATAAATTTCATTAAGTTGCTGTATCGATTGATAAGCACCAAACACCACAAGGGTACCCAAGAGGATGTACCTTTAAAAGATTATGCAAAATGATTTTCTAATAGATACAAAAGACAGATTTAGCTCCTTCAAGTGGCATCGAATAAAGCTAAAAATATGAAACAATAATCAATCCCACATGTAGAACATAAGTTGTTATAAAAAACCAAAAACACAGTTCTTCCTTTCAAGACTTGCTCTGTATTAAATACCCTGATAGTGTATAAATATTTTCATAATTACAGTGGGTTTGACTGATTTACCCTCACAGATGGACTGCCTTTGGTTTCTACTATTGTACCCTTGTGGATTAAAGAGAATGAAGTCACTGAACTGACATCAAGATCACCACTGCTCATAAAGCTTAATTTAAAACTGGATAATAGACAAAAAAGATGATGACTTTGGCCAGAACTTTGACAATTATAGTAAATTTATTCTTCACAATATGTGTAGTGGAATTGAAATAGGGATAATGACTTGAAAGGGTAACGAATTTTCGACTTTTGTCACATTTAGTCACTAAACTTTTTTTCGTTATCTATTTCCCATTGAACTATTGAAACTGTTCACATTTTACCCTTATGACCGGCTGTTGCCGGTCATAAGGGTAAAATGTGAACAGTTTCAATAGTTCAATGGGAAATAGATAACGAAAAAAAGTTTAGTGATTAAATGTGACAAAAGTCAAAAGTTTGTTTCCCTCTAAAAAGTTCAATGACTAAATGTGAACAAACTTCCTCTTGTATTATGTTTTAGCAAATTATTTATTTTTGTTAAATTGTAGCAACATTTGTTGATGAAGAAATCTATGAAATAATAAATAAAAAAAAAACAAAACCCTAAAAATATATTTTAAAAAAAAACAAAAAACCGAAACCGAAATACAAAACCAATGGTTTGACATTTTCCAAAATAAAAAATCAAAATTTCCAATCTGATTTTAGTTTTACAAAAAAAATGAACCATTCTCACTGATGTGAATTATAACCATTGGTTTGGCATGCGAAATTTGTGACATCCCATGAATATGTAGTTACAAGATCGTCTGAACTCGTAATTCATAGTAAGGGGTTAGAGTATCATCGCATGAATACGTAGTTACAACATCGCCTGAACTCGTAATTCATCACCTACAGGTCATGGGCCTGCTGGTGTTTCCACTGTGTTGTCTAGAATAGTCCGCGGTCGCCATCTATACTCTGGTAGATGACTACATCGCCACATTGCTGGTTAAGGCTATGGTATCTCCTTTCATCCTACATCACATATTCATCATCATCTATATACCTAATTATCATCACATTTCTATCATCACATATCTCTCATCATTTTATTTCATCACACACCAACTATTTCATCTACCCATGTTTCATCCGCAACATATTTGTAGATATAAAATAAGTATACCGTTTAAATCTTTTAAAACATGTATAAAATCGTTCATCCAGCATAGACAGCAAGTATTCAAATAATATGCACACATAGCATGTAATTTATATAAAATACTTCATATCTATGTGTAAGATGAAAGTAACTATATCTACCATAAAAGTCCCATAAATGCTTCCTAACTTCGAACTCCAAGGTTTACTCTACTAAAGATTCATATTCTCGGCTCTCTGAACCTAGAAGGGTCCAAATCTATCGCACCAAAAAGCTCAAGATAGCTCTTCCTCTCACTCTACACAATCAAGCTCGCTAGGGTTCTCACTTATGGGAAAGGTAGTGGCAATTGAAGGCCATAAGTGCCTTTAAATATGGCTCGGGCCCAAAGATTTAGGGTTTCTGCCAGCAGCGCAGACTCGTCGAGTCGCCTCACCGACTTGTCGAGTCCATTCATTAATCCGAGTCATCATTCGCGACCTTACTCGACGAGTTGAGGCATCAACTCGCCGAGTCTCTCTTCTTAACTCAAAAGAAAAATACTTAAATTATGATACCTGGAAATCCGGATGTTGCATTTTGTTTTTTTATTTCATAGATTTCTTCATCAACAAATGTTGCTAGAATTAAACAAAAATAAATAATTTTGCAAAAACATAATACAATAGGAAGTTTGTTCACATTTAGTCATTGAACTTTTTAGAGGGAAACAAACTTTCGATTTTATTCACATTTAGTCACTAAACTTTTTTTCGTTATCTATTTGCCACTAAATTATTGAAACTGTTCATATTTTACCCTTATGACCGGTAACAGCCGGTCATAAGGATAAAATGTGAACAGTTTCAATAGTTTAATGGCAAATAGATAACAAAAAAAAGTTTAGTGACTAAATGTGATAAAAATCGAAAGTTCGTTACCCTTTCAAGTCATTATCCCATTGAAATATGAATCATTTGGAGCACAATCGTACCTGAAAGGTCGTGTTCCAATTCCAAACACTCCATTTACATTTTAACCTTTCTTCTCCTTAGTATTGGAAAACATTGAATAACATTATTTAGACCATGAGCTTAAAGAGATTGAGTGAATAATATACCTCTTTGTTAAAATTGACTTTAAAACTTCTTACCTGAAGAACCAAGCAGTTTCATTTTAGCATACACTGCAGGGGAGATCCAGAACATCGGGATTTTAGGTTTGGGAGCTCCGATTGTCTGGTCGCCAATGCACGAAAAGGCGTCAAAGTCGTGTCAATGGTTGAGTCAGACGTTGGTGGTCGACCCTTTTCTTCTTCACGCGGAAAATGATTTGTGTCGGCTTCTTTCCGCTGAACAGAATACAACTCATCGATAATAGAGTAGAAGGATGTTTCCTGACTTCTCCTCTCTATATCTCCTTCTCAATCTCATTCCACCCCTCTCTCAAACCGGAAGCCCAAAGCAACCTGCTGATAAGAAATCAAATGAACGATCAGAAGGTCGAGCTACATCAGAATTGTCACCTTGTCGTATATGATCTGAGTTAAAACATCACATTTTTCACCTTCATCACCGTGTCTGATCTCCAAGGTACTCTTCTTTAGGTTTTAGGGTTCCTAAAATTTCTTCTTTTTGAAATCAGACACAGTGGGGCGGTGGTGAGCTTCGTCTCCACCGCTGTCGTTGATGGCGAGAAACGTATGAAGCAGAAATATGAGAAGAATCCCGAACATGTCGATCTGATGGGGGATCGTAAACACGTGCACAATGAATACAGTGGGCAAAGATAATGATGCGGTGGATTGCTAACACGAAGGCAAACGTAGCACGTGGCAAGAAACGGGAATGGAACAATAGTTGCAACTGATTAAACCAGTTTAAAGTCATTTGAAATTGTTTGTAATCGTTTGAAATTGTTTGATTGTTAACACAAATTTAATTGTGTTGTACTTGTATTCCCCTAAAAATATGAAAAACTTTTAAAAACGTAGGAGTATGATCTCACATTGAATGTGCATTTGTGTTGGAATTTAACGAGCTGTAGAAACGATCATCGAACTAGGGTATGCATGTATAACATTATCCTAAAAATAATAATATTCGACGTCTTATTTAAATTAATAATATATTAATTTAAATAATGAGTTAAATGATAAATTAATTATACAAGGGATACTTACAAAATTAATTGGAATTATTTGGAAATGTTGCAAATTGATTTTTGGTTGACAAAATGGATTTATGGTTGAATCTTATGGGTTTACAGTTGGATCATGGGAAAATATGAAGATTTCAAGATTCGAAGATGGACTTGAATGTTCTTGATGGAAATATAAAGATTTGAAGGAATCTAGATGTAAACTCTTGAAGATTGAGAGAAAAGTGGAGCATTCACAGATGGTAGTTTAGAGGATTTTAGGGGTGTTTAGGGATGAAAATGAGTGGAATGAAAGTGTTCTTGCCTGAAAAACACACACACACACACACACTGTAATGACCCAAAATTCAAGACCAAATATTTCGTTTTATTTAAGTTATTATTACATAAAACCATCAGTATAAAACAATCATAATAATATCTCATGTCAAACCAGTGTGTCAATAATCAAGCATGTCATCATAAAATAATATCAGAGTGTAATCCCAAAGATCTCATGTGCGGAAAACATAGTGTGATGCGCTACAATCAAGCTGGCTCATTTCCTTTGAAAATTAGGTACCTAAAACCATCAACAAAGCCTATAAGCACGAAGCTTAGTGAGTTTCCTAGAGCATACCATACACACAATCCACATATCACATATCCTGTTAGCTATAAAAGCTACCTGTATTACATATCCTCCTAGCTATAGAAGCTACATATAACATATAAGCCATGCATACAAAAACCTGTAAGAATGCCATGGGCAATCCTACATGGTCTTCACCTAGGACTGCCATGGGCTACCCCATATTGGTTTTACATCCAATGCCATGGGCCACCCCATATGGTCTTTACCTAGGACTACCATGGGCTACCCTACATG